ATGTAAATATTTTGAACATATAGAGATTTTAAAAATTAGTAATGTTAATAGAATTAATGATAATCTATGTGTTAAAATTGACGAAGGATGGCACAATTACATCTTTTAAAACTAAATATCTTTGTGATGTTATGACTATATATTGTTAAAAACTGTTGGAAACTTGTAATTGTATCATATGTTGTCACCACTTGTGCACCAGATGTGGACTGTTACACACCTCCCTTACTACCACTCCCAGCACCTTGTTGTAAGCTGGCACCTGCAACTCTGTCGTCTTACTGTTTTTTGGTATGCACATTATCTGTCTGTATAACTTTAGTTCATAACTGTAAACCAATAATTGGCTAACTTATAACTGTTTTGTATCAGCAACCTGTACGTCACACTGTCCTGCAACGTTATGAAGATTTATTACATTTGTCTACACTGATAATACTTACTGCTCATACAGTTATAACGGTGTTTTCATCTTTATATTGTATAGCTTTAGGCATAGTTTTAAGTTTACCATTACCTTGTATAATTTTTAATATATAAATAAATAAAAACAAGAACTTATACTGGAATGAATAATATAAATAAAATAAAATAAACCTTTAACTATCCAGCAATAAATAATGTTTAATAAAAACGTTTTCAACCGTTTTTAAACGGCCATCTTCAGTTGAACCAAAATTAAAAAAGAACATTAAAAAAAAAGAACACATGAAATACAAATTAAACAGAAACCGAAATGCGCATGCGTACTTCATCGGACTTGCGTCTTCTGAAAATCTATAAATAACTTGCAAATAACATAAAAAATTAAACAGAAACCGAAATGCGCATGCGTACTTCATCGGACTTGCGTCTTCTGAAAATCTATAAATAACTTGCAAATAACATAAAAAATAATAAAGCCGCCAAGAAAAAGGGGGGAGGAGAATATATGTTGATTACAAGGTGTTACTCTGCGTTATTGTAAAAGTTATTTCCAGGCATAGGATAACCCTTCCGCATCTCTATGATTAATGCATACCTTAGTTATGTGTGCCTTATGTATCTCTATCTTTTCAAGGTGTTTCAATGCCTGTCTGGAATTCGTGGCTCTAATGATCGAGGCTTGATCCCAATATACCTCGACCTCTTGTTGTTTGGCAAATGCTGTGAGCACTGTGGCATCTATGTTCTTACTCACAGAGTAAGAACATAGATGCCACAATATCCTTTTACAATAACGCAGAGTAACACCTTGTAATCAACGTATATTTTCCTCCCCTCCTTTTTCTTGGCGGCTTTATTATTTTTTATGTTATTTGCAAGTTATTTATAGATTTTCAGAAGACGCAAGTCCAATGAAATACGCATGCGCATTTCGGTTTCCGTTTAGTTTGTATTTCATGCGTTCTTTTTTTAATGTTCTTTTTTAATTTTGGTTCAACTGAAGATTGCCGTTTAAAAACGGTTGAAAACGTTTTTATTAAACATTATTTATTGCTGGATAGTTAAAGGTTTATTTTATTTTATTTTTAATATAGCATTACATTTAGTTAATACCAACTGATGAGGGACTATTTTCTGTTGGGAAAATAGTCCGAAATGCATTTTGAGTTTTCGTTTCCATAATTATGTAGTAATTTTTTGTGTTTATTAAATTGTTTTCACTTTGATCCCTGAGCATTTGTGCCCATCATTGGTCTGATAAGCCCTCACTATTATCTGCCTCATGGTTGTTGATAATTTAATTAATATAATCGTGCTGTACTTACTGCAAATGTTTTTAATCTTACAAAATAGTTTGGTAATTTTGGTTAAAATTAAATGATACTTATTGCATATTTTGCAATAAGTATCATTGACGCTCAGGATGAAAAAAATTGGAAGTTATTTGCAAAAATTATACTTATTGCCTATTTTGCAATAAGTATCATTTTTGCAAATAACTTCCATTTTTTTCATCCAGTTTGTTATATCTGAAATATTTAATATTTATGTAGGAAATATCAAATTAATTCAAAATATTTAACTTCATATTAGAAAGAAATTTTTTAACCCATGTTATCAAATAAGAGTTTTTATTTTATCTATTTTCTTCTACAATACAATTACTTATAGCATCTTTATATTGTTTCCTTAAAATTTATAATTTTTATATCAGATTCCTATTCATGAAAACAAACTATACATTATGCATCCATTAATTATATAACTGTACAAACAACATACTTTACATGAAATTTGAAAAAATCCAATTTGTAGTGGTATTACGTCTTCTAAAAGATTGTAAATGCAATGTAAAAAATCTGGATACAATACAACTAATTTTCTTATATTATAATTATATTCTATATGAAACTTGAATATAGAAAATTTATTATATCTGATTAATTTATATTATATCATGAATAAAATATACAAAAATCATTTCAAATTTTATTTATTTAAATATAATTTGTCTTTGTAAGACAGTTTGTGTTTTTTCAATATATATTCTAGTATGTAAACATTGTTGGCCAATTTTAATTCATGCCATTATCACCAGAGGATGGTTTTTAATTTGTTTTTTGCATATTTTCACAGAGACATAGCCTCAAATAAAAGGTGATCTCTGTGGTTAAAGACTGTTTTTTGTTTCTGGTGAATGTGAGTTATGGATTAATAAAGGCAATTTGTGTTTCTTTAATACACATTTTAATATGTACAGTACATACTATTGACAAATTTAATCAAACTATTATTATTTGATGGAATATTTTTTTTTGTTTTTTAATTATGAACTTTGCCATAGTATGTTATAAACATCAAGCCTATAATAAAGAGAAGACATCAATCTTGGTGATTTTTAAATTTTTGTAAGACATTTTACATGTTAATTAAACCTTTAATGGAGTGTTTAATTAACATCCCCTTGCCTCTCACAGTTTTCTTTTACTGCAAATGATGTTCAAAGATATCTCCATTTTCTTAAATGTTAAGTCAGTTCCATATTGGAAATATTTCAGTTTTTAGTAACATGTACCCACTGTGTGTTAGTACTAGCTGTTCAGATTCTTCTGATTATATCTTCTCTAGTTGTTGGTTCCTGTTCATAAACAACATTCTTTAAATATTCCTTCAAATAAAAGTCAGGTGAAATCAAGTTTGGCAATAATATGGGCTATTGTACCAGTCAATGACATTTTTTCCTTTTTTTCCAGTAACTTTGCAGATATCTCTGTGGATCTCTGCAAAAGTTCAAATACTCATAACATCTCATAAGTGTATCTTTCACAAAAAATGTTTCACATAAAAGTTTTATTGTTTTTTATGTAGAATCAAATGCATTAACAAATGAGGGTTCTCATTTAAGAAAATGAAGTTGACCCCATTTTTAGCACACTCCACTATAGTAGTGAAGTGTTTATGTTAGGACTTTTGTGTGTCTGTCAGATATGTGCATGCTTTGTTCAATCCATTTATTGGGCATGTCCACACACATGTGCAATGATTCTGTTTACTTTCATTACCTAAGTTATGTTTCATTCAATCCATTCATTGTGCATGTCCATGCACATGCACAAAAGGGAACTGACATTTTTGTTTACAGTCACTGTAAGCTATAGTAAAAACTACCTGGTTTTTCTGGAATCTATAAACCACATCCTTTACTGTATATTCAGTGAAAAATTCTAACAAACAACTACTTAATTCCAAGAATTTATAAAATTTATTTTAAACAAAATTAATATTTGATTCACTTTTGTGGAGCATGCTATCAGATTGGCTTGACCAAGCTTGTTACAATTGTAGTGCTAGCAATGATGAAACCAATAGTGCCAGCTTATGGATCTCTTGAAGTCTAGCATCTGATTTAATGAATTTTTTATAGGATATGTATTTTTCAAGTTATTCCAGTTGCTTGATTAAAATGAACTACCTTATATATCTAATATTTTAAATAAACAGAATATTTTTCTTCATTGTCAAGTTATGTAACTATTATAAATTCAATTTCAGTGCATCTAATTTATTATAAAATTAATTTCTTCCAATTGGTTTATCATTATTATTAATAATTACATAAAAAAGTGTTTTTTTTTGGCATAATTAACATTGAAAAAAATTTTTTTTTGTTCTCTGGAATTTCTTTAAAATGTTTGGTTTAAACTAAATCACAAAAAATTTTCTTAACATTTTAAGTTCAAAAATATCTGACATTAATTAATGAAATCTTGAAACTTATTCTCCAATTTAAAGATGAATTTTCATTATTTTCAGTTTTTTTAATTGAATTCTGCTGTTTTCAATTCTCTTTTTTTGATTTTATATTGAATAATAAAGTGTATAGCTTTAGAAATTAAAACTAAAAGTATTGCTAGCATTATAAATTTATACTGATTATAACTATACTGATATAATGAAACTCAGACATATTTAAACATTTTTTGAAAATGGATAATTGGGATAGATATTTCTTGAAATATCTATTCCAAGATTCATTCATGTATTGAAAAAACTATTTCATGTATTTCTTAAATCAATTTATTACATATGTTGTATGTATTCAAAATGCATTTCAAATGAATGTGTTTGAAATGTGTTTTTTTCTTCTTTTATATATACAGTTATAACATTAAATTCATTTCTAAAGTTGTCAAAATTTTTTAAAATAGATTTTGTATTTTATTCTGTTGAAAATTTGGATTAATCAAAAGCAATGATTATATAAAAGAATAATTTTAAAACTATTTGTTTTTGAATTAGAATTGTTCTTTGAGAACAGATTTCAAAAATTTAATCAGTACAGTATAGTTGATATATTTGTTTTAAAGGCATATAAACTAAAAATCATATTTATTAATTAAGGTAATCAAATCATTAATTCTATTGTATGACTTTTAATTTATACTCCATTAAAGCTCCAATACATTTATATAGAATTGTTCTATTAATTAAAGTTACATTCTGATTTCTCAAATATTGAAAGTTTTATTAATTTCATTTCCATAATAAATTGAATTTTTAACTTTATTTTCCAGTATGAACTTGATTTACCAATTGAAGTCAAAGTTGGAAGTATCGGTAAGTAGAATTTTTGTTTGAACTAATAACTGTAAAAAAATTATTCAAATATTTTCAACTAGATATTTTTCTACTTTAAAATAAAATATAATTATTTTAATGTTTTTAATTTAACAAATGTAATGGAATGCTACATATAATGGCATAACATATACAATTTACCATTTTATGTAAATTTCACTAATTTTATTGAAATTAACACAAATTAAAGTTCAATTAGTAATCAATGGTAAAAATTGGATTTCTACATCATCATGTCTGGTAGATACTCGAGTAAGCTCAGTCACTTCACCAACATCCTTGAATGGAAAGTGGTATCACCTGTATTCCTAATACCATGTTCTGAACTTTCACCACATAAATGCTGTTGTCACAATTGTTTTAAGTTTCTTTTCATTACTACTATACTATACTACAGTTCTGTTAAATGAATGAATAACTCAGGAAAAGTTTATGGTTTCTTGGTATCATAAGTTTAATTCCATGGATAACACAGAAGTCTAATAACTTTAATGTGTATGATAATAAGAGATGATTGGCAACCAGATTAGTCTTCTCTAACAGATAAAGAGTATTGTTTGGCTTTTTACAACCTGCCCTCCTTCCTCCCCTATTCCTATTTTCAGCCAGGCTTTAAATTTGATGCCTACAGTCAAAATTTGTGGTATGAAAGAATATTTAAACCAATTTTTTATTTTCATTTTAAAATATTTTGTACTTAATTAATTGTTTCAGAATATTGAAGGCAGTACATTGTGTTTTTGTAAGATTGGTTATAGATTACAGCACCTGCTATTTACAGGAAAATATAATAGATATTATATATGAAAATGGCCTGGTGATTGTAAAAATATGTAAAGTAGAAGAGTCTACTATTTGGGAGTATCTGTTAATGGAGGTTTCATTGTATGACTATACTAGACAAAACAGGAATTATTAATTACACTAATATTTTACAAATTTCATTAAAAAGAATATTGAATTGAAATAAACATTAGATAAAGATACATTTAAATACAATAGAAACATTTCTTATTATTTGCTTTTAATTTTAAATATATGTAAGTTTAATTGAGAATAGTTGAGAATACAGACACATTAAGTAACTTTAATTAAAATGCAATTTTAAAAGAGTATTGGCTGAATTAAAGAAGTCAGGCTTATTAATTTTTAAATGAGAATCTAATGGTTTTATCATAAGTAATATACAGAAAGCAGAATAGAGGGGACTTGTGTTTCCTTGGATATTGAGATTATCTATGGAGTATTGACCATTTGCATAGGCTGTCCATGGAGTATTGACACACAGTACAGGTCAACTTACATATAAGTTTTAACCTAACCCAAAATTATAAAAATGCAGGTGTTTATGAAATTCCTGTTAACAATAAGAAAGTAAGGTTTACATAGAAAATAGAAAAAGATTGTTTGAAACTAAGCTTAATGGAGCATTACTTTGATCTCCACAAAAAATAAAATTTTGGCTGCATTGTCTTAGGAAACCTTAAATAAAGATGCAGAAGTTGATTGATGAAAGATATCTTTATTCCCAGAATCAAGAATTTTAAAATAGGACTCTCAGGATTTAATTAAAATATTTAATAAAATATTTTAGCTAGGACATAAGTACAAACTTTAAAAAATTCACAAAAGGGATTCTTCTAATTCTTGGACTAACTATATAAGTGTATAAGTATTTTTTAAAGTTTATACTTATGTTCTGGCTAAAATATTTTATTAAATATTTTCATTAAATGTATAATTTTTAAAGTGTGCAAGCTGCTGCCACATGGAACTTTTTAACATTTTACATTTTGAGGCAGGGAATAGTAGCCTCTAAAAAAAGGTCATCTCCATCTGTGAAATTGTTATTCCTGTAGGCTTTCAAAGGTACAACAATGAAAAGGAGACTTATACAGTTAGTCCAAGAAGAATTAGAAGAATCCCTTTTTTAAACTTTTTAAAAATTTAAAAAAGAATTTTTTAAAGTTAGGACTATCAGAACTTGACAATCATTGTTTTGTAAACCTACATCATCATCAGATAAAATATATCCTAATTGGAACCCTGAATATGGACAATGACTGAATTTTATAGCCAATTGACCCCTATCCTTTGTTAAAGATATCAACTAAATAATCAAGATATCTTTATTTGTATATTAGCTTTGTCTTCCATGATTTTGTTACATTGGTTAGCTTAGATTTTAGAGCATTGTTTTTCATTTTAGTTAACTTTCATAATTCTTAACAACTATTTATTTAAATGCTAGGAATAAAATTTATAGGTAATTTGATCCATACTGGCAGATACTCCTTAGATAATTTTGATGTTTTTAGTTATCACAGAAATAAAGATATTTGACAATTCTTATTTTAGTTTTTCTGTGTACTGATGCTGAAATTAGAAAGTTGTTTCAAAAGCATTTAAAAATAATAATAAAGTTGACTTCATTAAATCAACTGTTATTCTTTTTGGAGTTACAATTGATGTAATTAGAAAATCATATTAATTATATTAGAAAAAATTTAAAATATTTTTATGAAAACAAAAATTTTATCATCTATCTTTTATTTAACATTATGAACAGATAACAATAAATATATAACAGTAAAAAAATATAAAATATAACACAGATAAATAAAATTAAAATAAGAAAAGTAAGAAACAAAATATGAAAAATAAATAACAAAAATAAAAATACTTTACTTAATATTATTATATCACTGGAGAAACTATCATCTTACATAAAACACCCAAATTCCAGCAGTAATATGAAATATTAACACTATAGAACTAAAAATAAAAATAAAACATAAATATGCAGATCATACAATAGAACAAATATGTGTAAATAATAAAGTAATCAAGAATATTTGTTAAAAGTTCAAAAACTTTCAGATTAATATTGACTTTCTTAAATATTGATTTTTTTTTTGTCATTTGCAAAGTTATAGTATTACAATTCAAGATATCTTTAATTCCTAACCAGTTGCAATAGTCAAGATCATTGTTTTTAATTCTCTTGTTTATGTTTCTCGAAAGATGTTCTGCAAAGTATATTTCTTCTACAAAGACTAAAAGAAAACATATGTACTTTTTTCATTAATTATAACTACTGTATTTTATAGAATACTAGCTTATCCGTCGTGCATTGCTGCGATCTCAGAAGAAAGGAAATTCAAGCAAACTCATTATGATAAAATTCAATTTACATTTTATTATTTTTATTGAAACTTATTATTATTATTATTATTATTCATTTTCATCGGGAAAACATTTCAAAGTGTCGTTTCATTTCTATTTATTTATTGGAGTGTTTGTGGATACACGATATTTTTTGTTTTTCCGTCTGGTGTGTACACGAATAAATCGGAAGGTTTTTCGACGCGTGAGCCGGCCACATACAGTTGTCCATGCGAGAAGCACGGATTCTCCAAATTTAGCCCACACACTCGCTGCGATTGTCAGAAGTGCGATATTCCCCATTTTTATATATATTTTTAAATCCTTTATAATTTTAATTATTTAATTGCTCCTTCCTCTCTTCCTTGGCATGTTGTGAAATTTCTGATAGTTGGATAATAAACCGTTTTATTGTAATTTGTCTTTTTAAATTATTAGATGATATTAAAATTTGGAAAAGGGGATCCCTAGATCAGTAAAATAGGCGAATTTCCTTCTACAACTTCGGTTGTTGCTCGGTATACAGTTAAAGTTTTAACAAAGTTCGAGCGAATATGTAATTAGCAAAAAAAAGTTGAAATAAAGTGATTAAACAAACATTATTACGAATATCGTAAATAACAGTTCACAAATGCATACATAGAAATATTTTTTGAAGGGGGAAATGGTCTTCAGAATTTGAAATCGATCAAACACACTGTGCTCGAATTCTCATGTAAACACGCGCCATCTATCGTAGGATAAATGTACTATGCCTAAAACCTTCGCGGGAGTGTATTAAAAAACTTTCCGAAGTTTTATGGCAATCGTACTATGCCACAAACCTTCACGGGAGTATATTAAACAACTTTCCAAAGTTTCACGACAATCGGATAAACGGTGTGGTAATGCATGAAGGACAGACAGACACACACGCACACATACATTCATTTTTATATATATAGATAAAATGCACCCTTATTTTAGCACGGAATATTTAGGAAAAAAACTACTTAGTGTTTTAAATCCATCTTGTTCCTTTGTCACTTGATCCCAAAATTTTTAAACTATTCTGGTTAAAAAAGTAAAATTAGAATGCATACTTTTATTTATCAGGAAAAAATGAGTTTAAAAGAGGTAATTTACAATTTACCATTAAAATATTCAATTTGAATACATGCAAAAACTGCTTTGATATAGCAAATAATAATATGTTTAATTAACCAACAACGTTTTTATTCAAGAGTTGGGCTAGGTAGCAGTTACCTGTAGTCTACTAAAGGCCATCCATTTGGGGAATTTATTAGCCTATGAGAGATCATACATAACTTTGCATATATGATGCAGAGTCATTTAAGCCTTTTTTTTTAATGAAAAAAGTTATGCCTTATATTCCATAAAATACAGTAATTAATAGTTTGAGACACTTGTTTTTAAACAACATTTAGAAATAACATAGATTTGATTTGATAAGTTTATTTGATTTTATTTTACAAATAAATTGTTTAATAAGACATTTTCATATGCTGTTTCTTTATAATTGAAAATTTTTAAAGTCTAATAGTGAGAAAATTTAAAAAAAATATTTATCAGTTACTGCATAGATTTCTGACTTTTAATATAGTGGATTTATAGTTTTTTGTACTATCTTGAATAAATATCTGAAATCCTTTTTTTGAATCATGTTAAATTTCAGGATTTTATTAATTTATATCCAATGATTGACTTAATAGTTTTTAGACTTTTATCATGGATAATTTTTGAAAAATGTAATTTTATATTTTTTAGTGTATACAAAATCTTATTTGGACATAAAGTTGACTTCTTCTAATTGAAATTTTTTCATTTTTTAAAGGGAAAATATCAATTGACATACCATGGATGACTTTATATTCAGATCCAGTATTGGTGCACATTGAAGATATTTTCATTTTATCTGGACCTGTAATAGATCGAGAATATGATCCAGAAAGGGAAAAACGTTTATTACGCGCACAGAAAAAAAAGCGTTTGGAAGAAGTTCAAGATTTTTCAAGCTTTGAAGATTTAGGTAAATTTATATAGTAATGATTTTGAATTTATATGATTTGTATTTAAGCATTATTCATTTTATTTGTATTGAACAGTAGACTCTTAAGTGATTGTAAGAGAAGCTTAAGATACAAATATAAACATCCAAACCTGATAGTTAAGATTTGGCAATCATTTGGTTTTAATATAACTATCAAGTTTGGTTGTTTATATTTGTATTTATTTTTATATATATGTGTGTATATATACACCATGTCGAGTAGATGCAATTGCCTTCTGTGTATCCATGTTGGGAGTTATAAGCTGTAGGTACTGAGTTGTCTCCAGCCAGTTCCATAAGTAATTGAATATGGTTATGTCTAAATTAATAAGTTCTGGAAGCAAGAATCAGATGAAGGTCCAGATAGTGTAACTGGTAGCATTGACCACATGGTAAGTGGGAGTTGCAAGTTTGAGTCCCACTTTGGGCTGATTCTTTTCCTCCAGAACCTTCTAAATTAATTATTAAATTCAGCAAGATATGGCACCTAACACATGTGTGAGAGCTTGGACTTGACAAAAAAATTTTATTCAAAATATATTTTTGAAAGGAAAAAAAAATTATAAAGGATATGATTATAACTTTCCCCATGGTCTTGCTTCCTTGTTTAATGTGACATATCAAATGTGTCACTGGGAACTAACAGAAAAATTTGTCATTGGACTGTAGAACTAAATAGTACCAAAAATGGGCAAGAGCAATGAGGAGAGGACCCCCAGAATAAAAGAATGGTCTGATGATGCAACAGAGAGTTCACCGTCATCGATAGTTCTGTAAACTGGTGTTCACGCCCAGTCCCTTTTGGACTATTCAAGCCATCGCCCATTCTCTGCCCTTCTCAAGACATCAAAAGACTTCCATCCTTTTCAATTCATTGAAGCTTCTTTCGAACCACCTTGCAGACCAGGAGTACATCAATCTGCTGATTCTGAAAGGGACCAACTTCTACTAACTAAGATATTTACCAATGCATGAATGATTATAAACTCTCTCTCTCATGGTCAGGGACCCATGATATTAATGACAAGAGTTACCCTTTCTTCTATAATTTCATAAAAGTAGCACCAGCTAAGCATCTTAACCAACTTCAATATATTATTGATATGTAAATAAATGGGTATTGTTAATTGTTAAATTCATAGTGGAGTGCACTCACTTCTTCCGATTGTCTCTGAGGCCATCTCCATCCTGGGCCCAAGCACCTATAAATGCAACCGCTTGCGCAAAAACGAAATTAGTGGCCATCAAGGTTTCTGTGTCTGTCCTTAAAGACACAGTGGTGTCAGACTGACAACTTTTATAATTTTTATGTTCTGAAAAATATTTTTTATGCATTTTCTTTACTCTATTGAAAATGCTTTTTTATCTAAATGTGGAAGGGAACTACAGATTTGGTGGTTATTATAAAAGTGGATCAAAGCTTAAAAAAGGTTGGAAAACACTGATTTGGAGGATCTATAAAAATATTATAAATTTTCACAGCCTTTACAAATATCACTAGATTTTTATAATTTTGAAAACTTTTAAAGTAAAGTTAATTTGTTTTACTTAAATCTTGATTTTTGACATTTAAGTATCAGAAAATTATTTCTTTCTTATATAAGGCAGAATTCTGAATTGGGATCCAATCTGTCTCTTGGTAGTCTTCCTTCAAAACAAAAGTGCACTTAAAATACTTAAATAAAAATATAGCTAAATAATTTGTAAAATTCACTTAAATATTATATGAAATTAATATAAAAATAATGTAAATATTTTTTAATGTCATTTATGGCATAATTTAATTCATAAATTTAAGCAAGGTTCAAATAATAAATCATGGCTTCAAGAGAAGTAAAATCTTTATCAAAATAACACTTAAATTAACTTAAATTTAGCATTTTTGCCTTGAAGATATTACTAGTCTTTAGGAAGAAGTATTAATACAATAGTAAATGACCAATTTCTTTAAATAATTTATTAATTGTTTTTTGAACAAAACTGAAATGATTTTGATAAATTAATAAACTTTTTAAAATTTTTTTTATAATTATTTATTATAGTAATTTAAAAATTAAATTCCAAAGTAAAATTTTTAATTTTTTAAAATCCTTAAAATTTATTTAACTTAAAATTACATACCATGCATACAGTCTTTCAGCAAATAGTATGTATTTGAATTAAATACAAAACATTCTATTTTGTATTTAATTTTAATTTATTTAATTTTGAAAATGTAAACTGTTTTGTTTATATTTATCTAATATTATAAATATTATTTACATAGAGAGTAAACCTCGTGGATTTTTTGAGAATCTAGCTGCTACATTAATCAATAACATACAGGTAAGTTAAGTTTGTTATTATTTTGTTATATTTTAACAAATAAGATTATTTGGATAATCATAAACTAGTTGCAAAATGTTCAATTTCTTGTTGGGTTTTATGATTTGAAGAATGATTTGGTTTGTCAATAATTTTTAATTGCTAAATCATATGAACAAATTAAATTTAAAGATAAACAGGCCTGAAATTGAAGTAAACTGTTCTGATATTCTGTTTTGGGAAAGGGTTAAATAAAAAGGTTGTATTTGTGTCCATGTTCATTAACATACATACATACAAGAAAGACATCAGCCTTACACCAGCAGAAAAGAGGGTAAGGGAAAGGGGAGGGGAAGAAGGAGAGAGAAGAGATAGACAGTAGAGAAAGGTAGGATCCCTCTGAACGGCATAGATATGGCTACAGTACCCTCTATGTTTGATGTTGGCATGCAGTTTTTAGGATGTAAGGCTGTAGTCCCCTGAAAGGTCTAAAAAAAAACCTGAGCGTAGTGAACACCAATAATTGAATGTCGCCATGAATAGCTAAGTAGGAAGAGTAGAAGTTAGTGCCAAGTGGCTGTTAGGAGGAAGACTTATATCTATTTAATACTCTTAAAACTGAATACAATTGTAAATCTTAATACTACTTAACAGCTAGACAGATAGCACAAAAAGCAAACAAACACAATGACAAATTAGACAAGACGAAGCAAGATGAATGGACTGACAGAGAAAAACAAGCAAGACTCCAAAATTTTTATTTATTATTATTATTTTTTTAAATATTTTTATTTTTATTTTTATTTATTTATTTTTTTTAAACATTAATTTACTCACTAACTAAACTAACTTACCATAACCTAGGATGAACCTAACCAGATGACTAAAGCTAACAAACTCTAATCTAATTTAACCTAACCTATTATAACCTAACCAGAAACCAAGCTAAAAGTCACTAATCTAATTTACAGCTAGGACTAATTGAATTTAGACTGAAAAAGAAGACAGAAAATAAGAATTAAAATGTGTTCATTAACAGTGGAAAACTAATTACAAATATTTGTGTATTATCTTAAGAAACTCTGATGCACTGTCATAGATTAAACTAAATTGAAAACTATAACACATTAAACATATTACTTGAAGACAACATTTTGAGGTATAAGTTGGTTAAAATAAGTTTAAAATGTTCCTAAACTCTCTGTGTAACATGTGAAATCACCATTGCCATATTTTATAAAATTTAGCTTATGGATTGTTCTACATTCAACATAAGATAACTGCACCAGTTGCTGATAGTGATCTGGTAGCTGATAAGTTTTGCATAATCGTGTTATAAGCAGATTTCCGTGATAAGTTTGAATAGTGCTACCTATGGAGTTTTTGTGAAGTTGACAACATTGTGTCATTTGATAATGCAAAATATTTGAAATATGTCTATCTACAAGTGTAAGATGTAGCATGTGCAATAATGTGTTAGATTTTTTTAAGAGGTATGCTAATGATACTTGCTAAATTCATATTGTTTTAAAACTCACACTGCTATAAGAATGAAATATATATATGTTTTACAAGAAAATATTTAAAAATTGCTATTTTGAATGTAATTTAACCACCATTTGGTTGTGATATTACTTACCTTTTAATTCAGGCAATTAGACAATTATTTTTTGTTTTCCTAGTACCTGACACAAAATTGTAAAGTGCTGGTATATTATAGTAAATTTTGCAATTCTTGTGCAACTCAAATGTATTAAAATGTATTAGTAAAAAATGTAGGAATATTTTTTTGTTTTAATAATTGAAATTTATATAGCAGTGGCTGAAGGACTAGGGTTGCTAACTCAAAAAAATAAAAGTAGCTAAAAGCAAACAAAAAACTATAGCTAAAAATAGCTAAAAAAATAGCTAAACAAAAAATAAAAACCAACCTTCAATTAACTTATTTTTAACTTTATTCAAAAAGTCCATTCATCGCTAAATTCCATTCTTCAGTTTCTTCATTGTGTTAAAAAGATGGTCCTGCTTCAAACTGAATATTTTGGTATAATTTTATATAGTGCCTATTTTTCGAATGATTTTGCTGGCAGTTTATAATCATAGTTGCATTTCTCTAATCTTTTCAAACTATATCTAATCGTTAATATGCTATGGAGTGAAATAATAGTCAATCTATTCCGCAGTTTGGTTTTAACAATATTCATCTGACTAAATAAATGCTCTACTTCTACGTTTGAGTGAGGTATCAATAATAAAAAACTTATAAAACAAAATTGGCTAAGTGTTGAAAGGGATTTTCTCTGACATCATCTTGGTATTGAGCTAATTTCATACACAGGTTTAACATGCTGGAAGTTTCTTTCTACTGGATTGCATGGATTTTTCTCTATTGAAAGTCAATGCAAGTTCATACTGCATCATCAGTGAAAAACATTTTTGCAAGGTTTATTATATCACTTTTAATTGGGTTGAGACAATGGTCAATAGTCCTACAATACTTAGTGACATCATGGTTTTCAAAATTGATGTATTGTCAGGTAACCTTTGCTGAAGTTGTTTTATAAGAGACAAAAGGAAGACAATGCAGCGACTAAGAATATTTTTCTTTTCTTCATCTAACAGTGCAGAATTGTTTATTTCAGTTTCAAACTGATAACCCAAATATGGATTGAGTGCTAAATGGTTTTCAATCACTATATCATTTATTATTTTTGTTCTTGGAATAACAATCTTAGAATAAGATTCTGTTAAATTTAACAAGTCCTGTAGCAACTTCGTAGGATCATTATTCTCAGATTCAAATATTTTATTTAATCTCTGAACTTCATCAAGTACAGGTTTAAGAAATAAAAGAAATAAGAAATTGCTTTGATCATCAAACATTGAGAACAAAATTTCTGCCTTATAACATCTTTCGTTTGTTCTGTCCAAATTAAAATTTACCTTTAAATCATTTCATTATTTCAAAATTTTATCAATAGCGGTCTGAATTGACATCCAACGAGTCTCACTGCATTGTACTAATTTCAATAGTTCATTTCCATCATTCATCAAAGCATAGAGTTCATTGTATTTGGATTGTGTAATTGCAGAATGAGAAAACCAATTAAATGTTTCTTTAATAAGAAATTCTATATTTCTTAGAAGGTCTTTTTTTGTAGCTTGGGAAATAGCTAATTGTAATAAATGACAGAGGCAACATATCAAAATCAAAGCAGGCACTTCAGCTTTGAGTTTAGCATATAGGCCATTATTGATTCCTATCATTACAGAAGCATTATCCATTCCAATTGCAACGAGTTTATGCAAATCCAAGGCATTATTTCTGAAGGAAAATTTAATTGCTTCACAAATTGCATCAGCATTACACTCTTTAAGTGGTACTAAATCTAAAAAATTTGTAGTTATGCATTTTTTTATTTTGAGAGTAATATCTAATTACAATACTTAAAAGATTGGAAACTGAAATGTCATTACTTTCGTCAATTAGTAAACTATAGTTGCTATCACCTATATCAACTATTAAATTTTCTTTAACATGTGGTGCTAAAACATTTGAAATTATGGCTTAACATTTTGTTTGTCCAAGAGTCAGATTATTACAACTTTTGCTATCTGAAAAATTTGTTGTGCAGAATTTAGTTACTTTGTTTACATGACTTACAGGACAACTTTCTGCTACAAAAAGTGCCATATTTTCCTCTGTTCTATGAACATTCGAGTTTTTCATAAACGGAAGAATATTTGAACTCCGCTGAACACTAAATGATGGTTTGGCTTTATATGTTTTTGAGTTTTCCTATGCTTTACTAAATCACTTACTTTTGCTATCAAAATGCAGTTACAATATTTGCAGCGACACTTTGTATTTTTTCCTTCAATTTCCTGCAACCAGTTTTTATACCTATTGTCATGTAGCCATTCTATTCGAAAGTTTTGAGTGTATCTTCTTTCATTTGGCATTTTCACTGATATAAGGGTAATAAATAATAAATTGCAATATCAATAAATAATAGTAAATAATAATATCACAAACTGACACTATATTAAAACACTTGGTTACTCATAGGTAACTTATAAGGATTCCCAAAGAAACTTGAGTGCTGGTTAGTGTTGCCACTTATTAAAAATAATATTTGCAACTCATGCACATAATTATTGCACATTAAAGATAATATAAATGAAGAAATTTATTAAATCTTAATAGTTTTATGAAATTTTTTGATTTTGTGGAAAATCTCTAAAAGGTAGCTAAATTTACTAAAAAATCTCTAAGAAAAATCTTCATTGCTAAATTTAAAAAAGGCACTAACTAAAGTAAAAACTCGCCAAATTTAGCGACTTCTTCGCTAAATTGGCCTATAACATACCTATATATCAAGTATTGTTTTATTTAAATCCTAATATATAGGTGTTATGTGCAGAAGTAGCAATATTTTTACATATTCTAGAGGGATCCAAAAATGTCCTATAAACATAGCCCTTGAAATACATTGTTTCAATGCTACAAGGGGATTAAAGTTCAACTACCCCACTAGCTACACTAACTATCTCATAAGATGCTATTCTGAAACATTACTAAGTACTATGGAATAGTCTCAATCTCACTGCCCTTCAGTTTCTTATCTTCAGAACTTTATGTTTTTGCAAAAGTGTAAGGTTAGCTTAAATTTCTTGACACTTTAGTACAACACAGAAACATAAATTTTATGAGCAATAGATGAAAGTTTTTGGCAAATTTGATTTTTTTATAAAAGTCGTCAAAAATTTAAACTTCAAATTCTTCAACTGTAAAATTTTTCCCAAGTGAGATAGAACTCTCTGATTCTCCTCATGAAACTGTACAATCAATCAATCAATCTATTTATTTACATATATACAAAGTACATCCCCAATACCACATAGCACAATTGGGGTTGATGATGGTGTGAAGTTTCGTTTGAGGGCAATATATTATTGCAGACAGGAAACGTATAAAACGAGTAAAAATACAAAATTTTTTTTATTCATCAAACACAGGTTCTTTAAAAGGATTCCAACTTACA